AAAACTTGTAAATAGTTATTGTTTTATAAACACATTTGAGTTTTTAGAAAATTAAACAAAAACTCAACTCTATTATAAAAATAATAATTTATTGTTTCATAGAATTGATTATCATTTGTTTTACCTTTTAGATTCTAATAGACAAGTTAAAACATTTTAGCATAACCATATGGTGAAAATATGTTAACAACTTTAATTTTTTTCAATTCTTTATATTTACTTCAATTTACATGTTGTATAAGGATATATTTAACTTTTGTGTAATTTGAGCAAATTATATTCACTTTTTAATTCTTTTACATCTATATACAAATTGTGTAGAAAAAAGTAAATGTGGTAATATTAATATTAGTTAATTAAAATTCAAGACCAGAAATATGAAATGAGTAAATAAGGAATTGATATTGATGGAATATATAATTCTATAATATACAAAATAACTGTGAGCTATCACAACTGTTAGAAGTTTTTTAAAAAGAAACAAATATACTATCACAGTGACATATTTTAATACACCTCTCTCAATAATTAACAAATAGTTTGAATAAAGACAACAAAAGCAACAAAAATGTGTGGGTTTAGAGTGAATAGCACAATACAAGCTCAGCTATATAGATAGTTAAATGGATGGAGGGAATGGATACATACACACAGATATGCACATATTAATATATATAGTTGAAAGCTAGCTAGATACATATGTACATAGATACACAGATATGTATATAGTTGATGGATAGAGATAGCCCAGCTATCATATTACAAACTATAAATATTACAGACATCCATGGATGAAGCTGACATAAATCAATGGGGAAAGAGAGAAATATTTGAAACTAGCATGGGGGTAATTAGACAATGGCAGTGGAACCAGGTTTCAATGTAAGTAGGGAGAATTGTTTAGGACTTAGTGAGCCAGGACTTGGAGGAGAAGAGGTGGTTGGGAGAAACTTCCAAACAGAGAGACTCCAGGGACCAGCCAATGCAATGGCCCTAAAGTGGTGGGTGCTTAGTGAGTCTGGGAACAGTAAGGCAGCCCTTTGCACTTTGCTCTGCTTAAAAGGCTTCCTTTTTCCTTCCTATCTGGGAAGCATCCACTCCCTCTTTAGCGTAACCACCAACTTCACTCGCCCAGTGAAGGCCCCTCTGACTCTCCCGGGAAGGGTATGTCACTCCATCCTCTGTGCTCGCAGCCCTTGCAGCTCGGTATTAGTGTTTATGACAGCGCGACTTTAGGTTTTCATGTCTGCCTCCCCCACCAGACTATGAACAGATCAAAGGCCAAGCATTTCATTCAGCTGTGTAGACCAGGCATGGGGCATAAGACACTCTGTACGTGTCTGCAGGTCAAAGAAGAGATACTCTGTATTAAGTGGTGCAATTCCTCTTTTTATCATGTTCCCTGCCTTTCATGCATGTGGCAAGTGTGTCCTAAGTGTCTTCCATATGCAGTTACAAGGTATTATGTATGTGCTGTGGGGAATAAACCAGGATTTATAAAATCCCCACCCTAAGCAGAGCTGAGGGGACCAAGTGAACAGGTGGGAAATAAGTGGAGAGGGCTAGATGCAGAAGCATATTATACTAACTGCAGTAGAAAAGCTGCCAGAAAAGGGCAAAAAGAGTGTGGTCTCCCGTCACTGAAATCTGCTGGAAAGACGTGGGTCGTACCTGGAGGAAGGCTGAGACTTGGCCGCTGAGCGGGAAGGAGCGGGGTTCAGAGGGAAGAGTCAGCAGAGCTGTGGGAATGGGAGGGTCGGTGCACCTGCCCGGAGGGGTCTTAGCAGAGGAGCAGGGGAGACGCAGCCAGGCCAGGGCAGGCTGGAGGCAGACTCCCGAGACCCACAAAGTTGGGCCTAGGAGTCAAATAGCTGTTCATTGTTTGCTCTTGAGGATTACAGCAACGTGGTGAAAGCAGCACTTGTGCACGAGTCACCCAAAAGCGCAGGGCAGGATGAATGCGAGGGAAACATCTGGAAACTCAGGCCTCTAATCAGGATCCACTACACCAGGCCCAAGATAGCGGGGGCTTGAAAGCAACCAGAGGGCCAGTACTGTGTCTGGAGCACCCTGTGGCCTCTCATGGGTGCTAGGATTTGAACGGTGTCTGTTGAATATGTGAATGGTGTGAATGAATTTAGGAAAAGGGAGTTGAGAGTTGTTTTCAATCAAGGAACAGTAGGCTCTAATAATGGACAGGGCTACTCTCCACTCTCCCCTAGACCCCAAGCCATATCCTATGTTTCAGGGATAGATAAGCCATTTGTTGTTTTCAAGAGACGGTTTTGCCCTGATCTGGACATTTGTATCTCTGCTTGCTTTGCCAGGAAGGGAGGGGAAGATATTGGTGGCTGAACAGAAAAGTGATTCAGAGGACTAGGACTCTAAACATAAAGAAGATTTAAGACCACTTTAATCAATTTCTGCTTTTATTTTCCTTCTTATGTATGTGTAAGTTTGATATGATTAAAAAATACATGCCCAAATATGTCTCAATAGGTTTTAATATATTTAAAATAAAAGTCCTAGGTACTCGAGGGGGGAGGAAAGGCAAGAGCAATGTATCTAACCTTAACATTTGTACCCCCATATTACACGGAAAAAAAAAGTCCTAGGTAATAAAAAAAGCATTGTGCTATATTTAATTGGCAATGTTTTTTACCTTAGTGGTGCATAAAATAATAGTGCAACTTATAATCAGTGCATCTTATATTACATAGTATATAGTATCATTCTGTTTATAGGAATCCCCTCCCTCCAAGTGCAAGATCAAGTGACCTCTGTACTATAGTATATTAATAACTAACATTTATCTTTTCTTTTTACTATAACATTGATCCAATGTATTAAATATAATTTATTTTTTATTTTTATTGCTTATTATCTCCCTGTTAGAATGCACATCCTATGAAGGCAGGAGTTTTCACCTATATTGTTCTCTGATGTCTCCGAAGCTCTCTAAAACAGAGCCAGACACATAGTAAGTACTCAATAGATAAATGTTAAATGAATAGACAAACGAATGAAATCTTTTTATATGCTAGACATTTTTCTAAGCACTTTGCATGAATTATTTCATTTAACTTTCACAAGAAACCTAAGGTAGATATTATCATCCACATTCTCAGTCGAGGAAATCAACGTATATAAAGTTCCATGACCTGCCCAAGGTCACACATCTTGACATTAGGGCAGGTGGGATTCAAGTCCAATCTGGCTCCAGAAACTATGCTCTTATCCGCTACACTTTGCTGTCTCTAACACTCCCTGTGTCCCCTCCTTGATTTCTCTGGTAAAATCCTATTCTGGCTCCCACTGTGTTTGGTGCATATCTCTCTCTAGCTCTTATTACCCTTTCTTAGAGGATAACATGGTCTGTGTCCTCCACTTCACTGGGCTTCTCAAAGGCTAAGACCTACCTTTATTCGTCTTTATTCCCAAGGGCTGGCACAGTGGCTGGTACCGTGAAGGTGCTTAATGTCTGTGAAATAAACCGGCTGTATAAATATAGAGCAGGAATCGTGAAAGAGGGTTGGAACGTTTCTAACTGGCAGACAAGGGACGTGTGGTAGCACCGATTAAAAGGAACAGCTTAGGAAAAGGAGCCGTTCTGGAGAGAATAAGTTTTGAACTCACTGCAGTGGTGGAAAGACAAGTGGAGCCATCCACTAGGAATTTGTAAAGAGAAAATTGCCACAAAGTTTCTCTTAAGGATCAAAACATAGTCTTGCAAGCATTTGTGATAGAAGTGCTAACTGAAGCTATCAGAGCAAATCAAGTCACTTTAGGAGAACAGAATGCAGAAGGGGGAAAAAGGGGCAGTGTCTGGGAGTACACCCCTAGCATACCTATAGTTAGTGGGAAGAAGATTACAGGGAGCCAGTACAGCACTCCAAAAGAGGTTCAGAAGGCTCTCTGGAGCCACACTGGAGTCAAAGGAATCTTTCTCCTGTTTGTGTCCCTGAGTAGGTGTCTGTGATAACTGCTTTGTAAAACAGTACAGATTATAAATAAAAGTCTGTGGGCAGTAACAGAAAAACAACACGTACGTTTCCAGTGCCACGGAGTCCGTCTGGGGCTGCCTGCCAGTGGTTTGGGGATCTGCTTAGTTCAGACTAGAGAACACCCACACGAAATGTCCTCTGGATGGCAACAGCCAGCACGACACGTCTTCCACCTCTTCACACTGACTTCTCTTCGCCTCCTCCCTCCTCCGAACATAGGCTGGGAGATTACACCCTCTTTGTGTCAAAACAGCACATGTGAAATCATCTTATGGCACCTACATTCTTTTACTTACCCATAGTCTTCAAGATTTTAGAAGGTGGATATGGCCTTTGCACTTCTTATCCCGTATCAATTTTCTTTTTTTTTTATCAACACCTCAGAATTCCTCTTTTCTGGTTGTTTTTGCTCTGTGGTTTAAATCAGTGTTTCCCGATTGCCAAACCACAGATCTCCAGTGGGGGTCCGTTGGGGAATGTTACTGCAATTCATTGAACCTCTCTGGTAACACTTTCCTTGTTTGTGCCTTGGGCCTACCACAGACCAGCAGGGACATCTAGCAGTAGAGTATACTGACCTTTGACCTCGAAGAGCACATACAGTGCTCTTCATTGGTGAAAAATGTGACTTACAGTGACATGATATTTAAATTCATTAAACATTTGGTAATAGTGCTATAAATGTTCTGTATGACCATTATTTTTACTTCTCTGTGAGTCAATTCTACAAAAGATGATCCTTCTCAGACCAATCATTCAAGAATTTCAAGATACACATTCATACAGAAAAGTGAAGTTTATTTAAATAATTATAGGTTATTAAGTATGGAATGTCCGATTTTCTTAAGTATTAAGTTTGACAGTTGATATCTCTGACATTTCACTTTGACATTTCTTGTTTTATTTTTATTGTGAGGGTACAATCCTTAGTCTTTCAAATGCATATTTTGGCTTGTGATTATCTTTCAAATTTTTTTTCAGAGCAATTTTTGTGAAACCATGGATAAGTCAAAAATTCATGTTATTTTTGAATACGAGTTCTGTCGTGGAACCAATGCAGTGTAGACAGCTAGAAATATCAACTAAGTGTTTGGGAAGTATGTGGGTAAGGAATGCGCAGTACGTGGATGGTTTGAGTTCAGTTTTGGTGATTTTAATCTTGAAAATGAGCCACGGGGGGTGACCTGAGACCAAGGTGGATAATGACGAGCTGAAATCTGTAGTGGGAGTGAATCCATCTCAACCTGCGTGTGACTTAGCAGCAAGGAAATGAAGCAGCTCTTCCCTTTTTAAAAAAATCTTGGCGGTTAAGGGAGTAAAAAAGCCACAGTGAGATTAAAGCAATACAAATATTTATTTTCCCCACTCCCTTGAACAATCTGTAGTTCACTGCTTCTCAGCCTGGACATTAATTTGCCATGAGGTCCTGGAGCGTCACCGCCTCTTTCTGGGGCGGTTTCGTTGTTCTTTTTTTTTTTTTTAATTTATGAAGCGCGGAGTTAAGACGTCACTGCTCCGTCACGCCCTGCCCAGCTCCTGCATCCTCAGGTGCAAACTTGCAGCCGAAAAGGGTCGGCTCGCCTTGTCCGGCAGGGCTCGCACGTTAAGCCTTCCGGGCGGTCCCGGGCGAGAAATATATATAAATTTAAATTCACGAAAGAGGCATAGTCCGTCAACGACATGAACAAACGTAGGGAAAGAGGTAGACGTTAACAAGGCCAAGGCCGCTCTCAGCAGTGACCGAACCCCATTTACCTTCCAGCTTCGCAAGGTCGGAACCAGCAACCTTGCCCTCCCAGGCCGGAAGTCAGCCTAGCTGGTAAAAAAGAACGGAACAGGAAGTCCCGCCCCTCCTCGAAAAGTAAACGGTAGCCCGTGAGGGTCAGCGTCAGACCGGCTGTTTGGCCGCATGAATTGATTTTTGCGGTTTGGCGGGCTACACTTGTTGAACTCGAGCCGGCCAGGCGACCCTGCAGCGCCCGAACTCGGCACTGCGCCGTCCTCTGCTGGCTGTTGAGCTGCGTGACCCTTTCCTCCCCTTGGCGCCGAAGGGAAGCCAGACCTGGGCGGACTGGGAGGCCGGCTTGCTGGTGTGTCCGGGCGGGGCGTGGAGAATGGGCCCGGGAGGTCCCTTGCTCTTCTCATACCGCAGGTGTCTCTCGTGCAGAACGGCGTGACACTCCTAGTCCTGCTCGGTGGTGGTCGTGTCCCCGCACACTTATTTGCACAGCGCTTTGGTTCGAACAGCAACCTTGTAAAATGGGCACTGCTATCCCCGCGTTACCGGTGGGGAAACGGGCTTGGAGAGAATAAGTGAGCCGCCCTAAGTGGCGGAGGGTGTGAGAGCGCCGCAATTCTAACTTGGGTTTTCTGAGACCACGCTGCGACCCCAGCGGTGCTTCAGAGTACACAGGGATATGAGATAAGCCAAAGCGAGTGCTCTTAGGGTATATTCATAGAGAACTGATTGGTTTCAGTTGCATCATTAATATCCCGAAGCATAACTTTTTTTTTTTTAAAGGAAGGGGGCAGTGTCCGTTTTTTTTTTTTCTTTCCCTTGCCTTCTCTTTAGATTACTAGTCCATTGTTAATTTTTTTTTCTTGATTTTGAGAGTGGAGACTAGTTCATTGTTAATGTCAAATGTTATTTTGGCCAACAGCTTGATACCCCTAGGAATGGCAGCCCCAACCATGAAGGAAAGGCAGGCTTGCTGGGGTGCCCGGGACGAGTACTGGAAGTGTTTAGATGAGAACACAGACGATGCTTCTCAATGCAAGAAGTTAAGAAGCTCATTTGAATCAAGTTGTCCCCAACAGTGGGTAAGTAACACTGATGTGTTTCTGTTCCCTGTTAAAATACAGTGAGCTCACAGTGTGAGTGGTAGGCTAGGAAATGAAGCACTGAGTTACGTCAACCAATAGTTTCTTTGAAAAGCAGAGAAAACCTTGTCTAGTAATCCAGGCTTGTTTTATATACTTACATTAGTCAACTCTTTGGAGGATGTCACCTGACACATTAAAGATCGTTCAAAAACACAACAAACAAACATATGAACAATAACCAAAAAATTCCAGCTCACTTCACTGGTAAAGTGAAGTGGGGGATCTTCTGAAGGAGTAGTATTTAATCTTGGGCAGGAGTTGGCAAATTTCTGAGCCTAAAGCTACTATTAAAAATAAAGCATTCCCAGTTGATCACACAAAATCATATAGTCTTATACCCAAATATAAAGAAAGGAGTTTGGTAAGCAGAAGAAAGAAAGGGTTCATGTCGTGGGTTCTGTCTCACTGACAGGTATTCAGGCTGTGTATTGCCCATCCTTAGTGTAAGAGGGGATTGGGAAAGGAACTAACATTGAGGTTAGTAAGAGGCCCTACGTGCTAAGTGCTTGACATTTCATCTTCATCAGTACCCTTTAAAATGGGTATTGTTCCTCTCAATATCTAGAGGAGGTAGCTGATGCTCAGAGCATTGAAATAAATTTCACAGTATTAATTACTCAGTAAGTGGCAGACCTGTAATTCTAAGGCAGGCCCAACTTGCTGTTATGAGATTTGAACCTGGATTTGAACATGCTTTTTCGCTCTTTTTCATGCTGCTCCAAAGTATACCATGTAGTTTGAGAATAGATAATTTTAGAAATCAAGTGATTTTAGGGTCTTTACCCTTTCACACTTCAAATTTTTAAATGCGTAGTCTGGGGCTTTGCAGGAGACCACAAGAAGGGTGGGGTGGAGAGTGGGGGTCATATTGGTGGGCTGAGCTGGGGAGGAATGCATTGAATAGAAATTTCCTTAGATGAACTCTTCAGTTGTAAAATCAGCATGATACAACCCATTTCGTGGGATTATTATGAAGATCAAAAGTATAAACAGAAAACTGATAAACATGGGACTTTGTGATTAAATTAGATAATAATTCAAGCAGAAAATGTGCAACAGTGGTTTTCCCCTTAGATGCATTCAGAGCACCTCCTGGTTTAAGAATAGATGGAAAATGTCAGAATTGGGGTTGACATCAAAGATAAATCCTTTGACACCTTGCTACTACTACTGCCTGTACTTTCTCCTCCTGGGTGGTCTTATTCTCCTCTCTCTGGTCCCAAGGTGATTGAAAGCAGAGTGAGGCTGAGAGCAAAGAGTGACTTGGGGCCCTGGTGATGGGGGTCAGGGGGTTCTGGTGTGGGTGATGAAGAGCCAGCCATTAGGCGTAAGCCGTGACCTGAGCGTTGGCAGGTTCTACCCCCACCCCACCCTCACGTTTTCCCAGGAGAACTTTGTCCCTGTGAGAGCTTTCAACAGCCTGGTTGTGATTTTCTACTCAGGTTAAATATCAGAATCATTTGGACATTTTTTTAAAAAGCTGTCTTAGACCTCATTCAGATCTAATGAATTTTTAGAAGTAGAGCCCTTCCTTGAACAGGGCTCTGGCTCCACAGGGGATTCTGGGGGATAACCGTGGTTAGGAGTCATTGGCCTAGTCTCTTTGGGAAGTCCCACTTTAGTCCACTTCTATTCTCTCTCTCCCCCTAAAACTCACTGCTTTTTCTCCAAGCTATTGGCTAATAAACCCTCCCACTCTCCCACTGCCCTCCCACTGCAGAGCTGAGTGCAGGCTCTTCAGCCAGTCTTGCTGCTGGCTGAAGGGACAAAGGAGAGGAATGACTCTATTTATTCCCCATTAAAGCACTTGTCTTGTCCAGGGAGTAGCTTATTCATCAAAGGCCCTGATTGAAAATGGTTCTAGAATATAAATCACTTAAACCACTTATACAATTTATAGTGTAAATTTAATTTGTTACATTTAAATCTGTGCTTTTGCTTTACAACTTAAGCTGCATAACCTGCCCGTATTTCAAATCCTGTTTTTCTCAACAGGTAAAATATTTTGATAAAAGAAGAGACTTCTTAAAATTTAAAGAAGAATTCGAAGCAGGAAAATCCCAGCCTTTAAAAAGAACGGCAAAATCCTAAGCTGTTCCTGAACTTTTCAAAATGGTTGAAACTATTCTTTCTGGACATTCAAAAAGCTCCACTAACTGTGGGACTATAGTTTGAATCATGGTAAACATCAGTACTTGTTCCCTGTATACAATACTTAATAACTGAAATGATCAAGGAATAGAAGATCCATGAAGACTTGAAATAAAATGGTATTATATATGCTTACTTATAATTTAGTAAGAAATCTACATTTTAAGAAAAAAATTAAAACTTATTATAAAAATACATGTGCTTTTTTTTGAATTAGAGGATGGGTAGTAGGAAAATATTATTTATCATAGATACAAATAGAAACTGAATTAAGTAGATTGTCATTGTATGTCCCTGCGAGTTGGCATCTTAATACAGGCACTATAAAATGAGGTTGAAAGTAGATTGAATTTAAAATATACAGGTGAAATAATAAAAGCCATCTATAAAAAAATCCTACAGCTAATATCATACTTAATGATGAGACAGTGACCAGATTACTAGCTAATTCAGTAGGACAGAAAAAAAAAAAACAATAAAAAGCATACATATTGGGAAGAAATAAAATTGGCTCTATTCACAGATAGTGTAATTATCTTGTAGAATATATCATAAGATGGACAAAAAAACTGGAACTATAATGATAAGTCAAAGAAGGGTTGCGAGAGATAAGGTCAATATAGGCAAAATTATATTTTTATGTATCAGCAATGAACAATTAGAATTTAAGATGAAAAATATACCATTTATAATAGTACCAACAAAATAAAAAGAGGAATATTTAGGTATAACTCTTACAACATATGGAGGCCTGGATGCTGAGAACTACATAACACTTGAAAGTAGAGGCGATGTAATTAAATGGAGAGCTATACAGTTGGCCGCCTGTGTCTGCAGGTTGAACGTCCACCAGGTTCAACCAAGTGTGGATTGAAAATAGGAAAAGAAAATGCAATTAAAAATGATTTTAAAAATACAGTAGAACAACTATTTAGATAGTGTTTACATTGTGTAGTGTAAGTAATCTAGAGATTGAAAGTACAGGCAGATGGCTCAATGGAATCACAGTATCCCATTGTATGGGGACATCATCATAGATTTAGCCAGTAAGAAGAAGCTGGCTAAGTTTGAACAAGGGGGTTATTTTTGAATTATTGCCATTATAGAATAAGCTTCAATCCCTGTCAAAAGAAAAAAAGAAAGAAAAGGACAGGCATAACTTGGAGATATTGCAGGTTCAGTACCAGGCCACTGCAATAAAGCAAATATCACAATAGAGCTGGTTACATGAATTTTTTGGTTTCCCAGTGCATATAAAAGTTATGTTTATACTACACTATAGTAAATTAAATATTCAATAGCATTATTTCTAAAGAATGTATATACTGTAGTCAAAAACTTTATTGTTAAAAAAATGCTAATCAGCTGAATTTTCAGCAAGTTGTAATCTTTTTGCTGGTGGAGGGTCTTGCTTCATGGTGCTGTCTGCTGACTGAGCAGAATGATGGTTGCTGATGGTTGGGGTGGCCATGGCAGTTTCTTAAAACAAGACAACAATGAAATTTGCTCCATTGATTGACTCTCTCTTTCACAAGACTTCTCTGTGGCATGCAATGCTGTCTGATGGCATTTTACCCACAGTATAACTTCTCAAAATTGGACTCAATCCTTTTACACCCTGCTGCTGCTTTATCGACTAAGTTTATGTAATATTCAAAATCCGTTGTTACTTTAACAATATTCACAGCATCTTCAATGGGAGTGGATTCCATCTCAAGAAACCCCTTTCTTTGTTCATCCACAAGAAGCAACTCCTTATCCTTTCAAGTTTGATCATGAGAGTGCAGCAATTCAGTCACATCTTCAGGCTCCATTTCAAATTCTAGTTTCCTGGCTATTTCTACCACACCTGCAGTTACTTCCTCAATCAAAGTTCTTGGGTGACTAAGTGTGTTGTCAATAAGAAGTAATATTTTGGAGTCTTTTTTTCTGAGCAATAGGTCTCAACTGTGGGCTTAAAATATTTAGTACACCATGCTGTAAACATATGCTGTCATCCAGGCTTTGTTGTTCCAGTTATAGAACATGGGCAGAGTAGATTTAGGATAATTCTTAAAGGCCCTAGGATTTTTGGAATGGTAAATGAATACTGGCTTCAACTTAAAGTCAACAGTTGCATTAGTCCCTTTTGAAGCTTTGAAGCCAGGCATTGATTTCTCCTCTCTAGCTATGAAAGTCCTAGATGGCATCTTCTAATAGAAGGCTGTTTTGATTATACTGAAATCTGTTGCTTAGTGTAGACACCTTGATCAATGATTTTAGCTAGGTCTCTTGGATAACTTGCTGCTTCACCTTGCACCTCCTTTCCTTAAACCTCACAAACCAACTTCTGCTAGCTTCAAACTTTTCTTCTGCAGCTTTCTCAACTCTCCTAGGCTTCATAGAATTGGAGAGTTAGGGCCTTGCTCCAGATTAGGCTTTGGCTTAAGGGAATGTAGGGGTTGGTTTGATCTTCTATCCAGACCATTGAACTTTCTCCATATCAACAATAAGGCTGTTTCACTTTCTTACGCATGTGTTTACTGGAGTAGCACTTTTAATTTTCTTTACAAACTTTTTCTTTACATTCACAATTTGGCTATTTGGCACAGTCTAGTAATAGCTTTTGGCCTATACTGGCTTTCAACATGCCCTCCTCGCTAAGCTTTTGATTTAAAGTAAGAGATGTGTGACTCTTCCTTTCACTTGAACGCTTACAGACCATCGTAGGGTTATTAATTGGCCTAATTTCAATATTGTTGTGTCTCAGGGAATAGGGAGGCCTGAGGAGAGGGGGAGAGACGGAACAGCCAGTCGATGGAGCGGTCAGATCACAAATTATGGATTAAGTTCACTGTCTTGTATGAGCACAGTTTTTAGTGTCCCAAAACAATTACAATAGTAACATCAAAGATCACTGATCACCATTAACAGATATAACAATAAAAAAGTTTGGAATATCGTGAGAATTGCCAAAACATGACATAGAGACACAAAGTGAAAACATGATGTTGCAAAAATGGCACCGACAGACGTAAGCTTAACTCAAGTCGTCACAAACCTTAATTTGTAAAAAAACAAAAAACCGAACAAAACCAGTATTTGCCAAACACAATAAAGCAAAACAGTAAAATGAGGTATGCCTGTATGTGAGAGGATGTACATGGGTTATATGCAAATACCACATCATTTTATAGGAGGGATTAGCATCTGTGGATTTTGGTATATGCAGAGTGTTTCGGAAACAACCTCGCATGAATACCTAGGGATGACTATACTGTATTCATGGATTAGAAGGCTTAATGTTATTTGATATTGTTATTTTCCCCAGTTTGATCTATAGGTTCAACACAACCATAATCAAAATCCCAACAAGCTTTGTTGTAGATATCAACAAACTGATTCTACAATTTATATGAAAAAGCAAAGGAACAAAAATAGTCAAAACAATTCAGAAAAGAACAAAGTTGAAGGAGTCACATTTCATGATTTCAAGACATTATAAATCTATAGTAGTCAAGACAGTATGGTATGAGCAAATGGACAGACATAATGGAAGAACATAGTCTAGAAACAGACCCACACAAATAGAGTCACCTGAGTTTGGACAAAGGTGCAAGGCACATCAACAGAAAAAGGATAATCTTTTCAACAAATGGTGCTGGAAAAATTATATATCCAAATACAAACCCTCCCCCCATATACCTCACACTATATACAAAAAGCAAACTCAAAATAGATCACAGACCTATATGTAAAGTGTGGAACTGTAAAACTTCTAGAAGAAATTCTGTGTGATCTCTGGTTTAGAAATGAATTTTTAGCTAAAACATCAAAAGCACAATCCATAAAGTAAAAGCTAAATTGAACTTTATCAAGATTAAAGACTTTTTGCTCTATAAAAGACAGTACTAAAAGAATGAAAAGACAAATTACAGACTGGGAGACAATGTTTGCAAATCACATTTCATGAAGAAATTGTATCCAGAATAAATAACTTTTATAAACTCTTGAGAAAAATAAGTTTTAAAAAATGGGCAAATTATGTGACTAGATACTTCTCAAAAGAGGATATATAACAAAAACTATATGAAAAGATGCTCCATGTTATTAAAAATTAGAGTAATACCAATTAATGTCATAATGACACATCACAACACACCTATGAGAATGGCTTAAATTTTAAAAGCTGACAATACCAAGTGCTGCCAAGTATAAACAATAGTCATTCTTATCTACTGCTGGTGGGAATGCAAAATAGAGGCCCTTTGGAAAATAGGTTTTTTCTTTTTTTTTTTTAACAGAGTTAAATATATGCTTACTAGCAATCCCACTGTCACCAAATGAAACGAAAACAAAACCTGCACGTGAATGTTTATTCAAAACTGCTTTATTGATAATCACCAAAAACTTGAAACAACCCAGATGCCTACAACACAGAAGTGGATAAACAAACTGTGGTTCATCTATACAGTGGAATCCCACTCAGCAATAAGAAAAAATGAACTTCTAATTCACACAACATACATGAAGCTTAAGTGCATTGTGCTATGTTCAAGAAGCCAGACCCAAAAGGCTGTTTTACACTTCCATTTATATGATTCTGGAAAAGGTAAAACTGTAGGGTAGAAAACAGATCAGTGGTTGCCAATGGTTGGGGATGGGGAAAGGGGTTGACTGTGAAGGGGTTACACAAAGGAATTTTTTATGGGGATGAAAGTGTTCTCCACAGCACTGTGGTGGCAGATCCATGAGTATGCTTGTCAAAACCCAGACTGTACACTCTAAGAGTGACTTTGTACATTAAAATAAAATCAACCAGGATATTGGGGAGGGGTGGGGAGTTTCCAGTATGGAATGAAGGTTGTGACAAGTGAATCTGACCACGTAACTACTATATGGCATAACCTCATTGAAAGAGGTGGGCAAGAAAGGGACTGATCTAAATAATTTCAGAAAATGGTGTTTTGACTGGATGCTGTAAGGCTAAAGGCAAAATGAACTACACACAGTTGTTCAATTAGCAATTTCTGAAACTATGTGTATTAATATACTAGGGTTGAACACTTAATATAGGTAATGTGAACCAGATTTATGTCAGTAAAAGCAGTTAAAAATAAGCAAGAAGTGAATGTTAGAATGAACCCCACGGTGCTAGGCTGGTGTCAGAGATAACAGTAAGAACTCATGTTTCTGTTCGCGTCCTAGACACTGATAAATACAGAGACATCTACATATTTGCCATCCACAGGCTGGTAGACAGATTCCCTAGCTCCATCTGCTAAAAAGGCCTGTAATTTGTCTAACGTCCAAGTATCTCCCCCCAAATACCCATTAATTACACTGTGGTAGTCTTAATAGGTGCCCCTAAATTCTTTGACACTCCTCCCTCCAAAAGGGAGCTTACTTTCCCTACCCTTGAGTGTAGGCTGCTGGGCTTAGTGGCTCACTGTTAACAGACTGGAAAGGACAAGGACTGTGCGGACAAGAACATGGCAAACACAACCTTCTCCAAATGATCGAGGTAGTTGGTCCTGCTGATGCCACATACTAACACGAGTAATGAGAAGGCACTTCATCACTGTAGTGTTCTTCCTTAAAACCCATAATCACAGTCTAATGAGAAAACTCCAGACAAACCCAAATTATGGGACATGTACAAAGTACCTGGCCAGTACTCTTCCAAAGTGTCCAGGTCATGAAAGGCAAGGAAAGACTGAACATCTATCAGATCAGAGACCAAGGGGACACTATGACTAAGTGCAATCTGGTAACCTGGGTTGGCTCCTGGAACAGAAACAGGACAGTAGAAAAATGGGAGAATCTGAATAAAGTCTGTAGGTTAGTGAATAGCACCATTATCAATGTCAGTTTCTTAGTTTTGATACATGTACTGTGGTTATTATATAAGATCACTTAGGAAGCATCTGGGTGAAGGGTGTATGGAAACTGTGCAGTCTCTTTGCAACCCTTCTGCAAAACAGAAGTCATTTCAAAATAAAACTATAGGATTAAAGATATACACAGGTAAAGGAAGTCTGAAATTTAAATATTTTTAAAAGGGACCAGACATAATTTTATTGCTGGGTGGTAATAAATAGCACCATTAAATAATGAAATAATCTAATATTGAACAACAAAAAAATCAAGAACACAAACAGTAAATCCATACTCATCAAGGGTTTCATTCTAGTTCGATAATGA